CCTAAAAAATAGTGTTAACTAAACAATTACATGCTAGTTTTTCAACTGAGAATAATTCACTTTTATGTCAGGCGGTGCTGCCCAGCCCCCATATCTTGGAAATTGGTTCCAGTATTTATTACTGAATCTTTCCTTAGATTAAATAACATCAAGGCAGACATTTCTCCTGACAAACGTTCTAGTTAATGACCCGTCATAAACAGCTGGTCGCTGCGTAGTAATTGGAAAATTGTTATCAAAAAAAAAAATAAAGAATATTTGCCACTAAATTAAAGCATTTACTTATAAATTTTCATTTATGCTTTTTGCTAAAAAATATTGATAAAGTTATTATTTTGAAGGGTTTTCATACCAGAACTATTTATTACAGACGTACGTTTGCCTAAACCTGATTACCACGGCAGTATGACGTCACGGAGTAGTGATTTAAACAAAAATCAAGAATTTTTCAGAGAATTATTATCTTTACAAATTGCAGATATGAAATTAAAGAATGAAAATATTTTCATATTGTTAATGTCTGTGATGAGTGATGAGTCAGCTTAGAAAAAATCAAGGTACTATTTTTTGACCTGATTACCGCGGCAGTAAGATTTGACGGACGGTTATTAACATTGGGTCGGCATAGCCTCCCCAAAAATCCACTATCAAAATAGTGAAATGTGTACTAGGCTCATTTGCCAAACAATGTGGGACACGGGGTGACTCAGGCGCATTGCGGCGGCATATCGCTGCATATCATTAACATCAATAAAAAGAACTAGAATTCCACAGTTTACCTAATTCATGTCCAACGATTATCAATACATGTAATATATCGATTTGTTTCTGTTTCACATTATTTTTTATTTGTCGCAGCCATCTTGGAGTCTGTTACATGCCTTGTAACACGCGATCTTATTGGTTGGGCAGATTCATTTTTTTGTGCCCCGTCTATCGTCCAATCAGGTCGCGTATTACAACGCACGTAACAGACTCCAAGTCAAAAGTCAATAAGATCCGTAAGTACATATATATATGTAAAGTTATAAAGCTGAAGAAGGTTTATTTTATGGCACAGTTAATTTTGTTATTCCTGGTTATGATGAAATAAATTTTTGACCCTGTTACCTCTAAGTGCTTCCACCTGTGAAGTTTGGAGATATGCCCTACCAACATATCGACCTGGATTCATAAAAATAGTGCAAACATAGGAAACAATGATTTCATTTAGAGGAAACACACCTCCTTTTAAACAAAATCTGTATATAAAATGTCTAGAGCATATATAAATTTGGCATTATCTTTTAAAAACGTACACGTTGTAAGGTCCTAGACTCCAAAGTGGTTAGTCCTTTGGAACATTTTAAGACAAAAAGTAGTTAGCAAATTGTGTTAATAAGTACATTTGTACTTAATACCTTAATACTCACACTGGCCATAGCTTTCGCAGAAGCGGTGGGTCTACCGGTGCGGCGATGGAGATTTCGTCGCAGAAGCGGTGGAAAAATATGGCTGTCGGATAGTTTTTTTGCTGGTGTCGGTAAGTTTATGACTTATTTTTACGTTATGTTTTTATGTTCTACTGATAACACCTAGTGAGACTGGAGCCCACATATGTACTCTTCCAACTCATTACACGCATGGGGTGCAAATCATGACCAGTTATGCAAACACTTCTGTACAGTTTGACGAGGGGACGCCACTTTTGCCTAATTTTGTTTATAACACTACATATGTACTCAAAACTACCCCTAGATACACTGGCATCGCATCGTATGTATGATAATTACACAGAACAACCATATTTTGGAACTTTTGGAAATTGATATTACCATTTTAATAAAAGAATTGACAAAAAATGATTACAACGCAGACGGCGGTGGATTCGATTGCAACGCAGTGCGGTGGGCCCGATATCATTTAGGTCTTTTTTTAACGTTAAAGTCACTGACACTTAGGAGTTGAGCACCAAACACCTAAAAATACAAATGAAATATATATTTTGTTAATCCTAATACATATAGTTGTTATATATATCAATGAAAGTAAATATACGCTTTTTTGCATCATGTACCTTATAAATATTTTTATAAAACAATCCTTGATTTAGATACTAGTTTAACATATTGGGGTGTATGCTAACTCATACACCCGTGTCGATTTTGCGACTCCATAAATATGGTATGGCACGGCCGTGCATATATTTTGACGTGACGTCATTAGCGTTATGCTAACATAGTGTAAAGACGCGCTAAATGTTAGCGTTATACTATAGGCGCGTCAATGAAAAATGACTCTTATTTCACGTTTAACGGTCTCTATTTTGGGTATGTGATAAATAGAGGATATTGAATAAGTGTAAGTTCATTACTGAATTTATTGCACTCGCCAGAGGCTCGCATAATATAATTTTATTCAACTCGTGCAATAAATTCAGTATTGAACTTACACTTATTCAATATCCTCTATGTATGGGTTGTTTAAAAATTAATTATAATGTATACATTAATTATAAAATTATCTTGTTTTTTTTTTCTATTTTCAATCTATGCATCATGCACCTTATTAATATGTTTTTATAAACAATCCATGTTTTAGATTCTAGTTTAACATATTGGGGTGTATGTTAACTATGAAGTGCTTAAATGGTAATTTTAACTTATAAATTGAATCAAAAAATACTTAAAGTTTGTATTTTCTTTATAAACTATGCATTCATTTAACTTATAAAATGTCTTGATAAATTAAATCCCAGTTTGGACACTAGTTCAACATATTGAAGTGTATGTTAACTATGTATCGCTGAAATGTTAATTATATGGCATTAACTCGTATATTGAATTTAATCTATCAATTTAACAAATCAAAATGTTTTTGTAGATTAACACACAAGAGTCATCATTAACTACGTATTACTAACACATTGGTCATAAATATATTTTGAACCTTATTTTTTTTACCTATGAACAGTTTGTGATAAAATTTTAATACATAGATAGATGAGATGAGATGAGATCTGTTGATAGTGACACTAACTTAAGCTTTATTGCTTTATCTATTTTTTTATTTTATTTATTTCATTTTTTTTATATAACTTTACATGTTAACATTTAATTACATCAAATTTTTATTTAACGTGTACAAAGCTATAAATATGCTGCATGTAATATAAAAAAGTATAGAATGCATTTTGAAATAAAATATTACAAAATACCTGACAAAAAAGGTAGACCAAAATGTTGTTTATTGGCCTATAAGCGAATTGCACATGCACGCGTTCAAAATTGTCGTATATTTTTGTTTGTAAATTGTTAAGTCAGAATTTAAATTGTCGCTCTTTCGTTTTCGTTGCTTTCACGGTCTGTCGTTCCTCCTTCGGTTGGACAGTTTGGTGGTTTTTTTGTTGTCCAACTTTGTGTCATCTATTGTTATAACGTTTGGTACAATTGTTTTCGATATGAAAGCGTATTTGAAGTTTCTGATTAATCTTTTGATTATATCATAATCTATTCTTAGACAATAAAGATGTCTGGCTCTGCCAGACATTAACAATCAAATTTCTATGTTTGTATTTTAACTCTACTGAGGATGACACAAATTAACAAGGAGGAACATGTACCGTGGTAAAAGTAAAACATAAATACATTTCAAAACTTTTCATGAAAATAAACATGAATATTGAGGCGTGCTGCTTTAAAATCCTAATAATTGTATATTTATTAATTCCAGCCCATATACTTATCATATATTTCAATAAAACTTACATATATGCCGTTTTGAAGAAAAAGTAAATATTTATACGTCAAATATATACACAAGATTAAAAAATGTGTTAGAAAAAAATCGCACATCCTTCAAATCACCTTGCAATTGATTCTATTTCCAATATTTTCGCATTATCAACAGGTGACACGAGTCATCTATTAAACATATATTACTGGTACTTATTATATATTTTCATCATATTTTTCTTTTTCAACAATATAAACGCTTCATCTTCAATATACAAACACACTATGTGAAAATTTTTTAACTATCGCCGGTTTATTTATTTACAAAATATTTCAACAAATTCAAGCGTGGCACTCAGCTCTGTCGTATTTAAATGAGGTGCGCTATGAATGTGAGAACCTGCATTATCCCGAATGACTCCGATTATAGCAAGGCTGGTTCAAAGCGCATTTATATACAGCATATCTGAGAGTCATTTTGTTTTCAAAAAAGAGTATATTTACTTTCATTGATATATATAACAACTATATGTGTTAGGATTAACAAATATATATTTCATTTGTATTTTTAGGTGTTTGGTGCTCAACTCCTAAGTGTCGGTGACTTTAACGTTAAAAAAAAAGGCCTAAATGATATCGGGCCCACCGCACTGCGTTGCAATCAAATCCACCGCCGTCTGCGTTGTAATCATTTTTTGTCAATTCTTTTATTAAAATGGTAATATCAATTTCCAAAAGTTCCAAAATATGGTTGTTTTGTGTAATTATCATACATACGATGCGATGCCAGTGTATCTAGGGGTAGTTTTGAGTACATATGTAGTGTTATAAACAAAATTAGGCAAAAGTGGCGTCCCCTCGTCAAACTGTACAGAAGTGTTTGCATAACTGGTCATGATTTGCACCCCATGCGTGTAATTAGTTGGAAGAGTACATATGTGGGCTCCAGTCTCACTATGTGTTATCAGTAGAACATAAAAACATAACTAACAAATAAGTCATAAACTTACCGACACCAGCAAATAACTATCCGACAGCCATGTTTTTCCACCGCTTCTGCGACGAAATCTCCATCGCCGCACCGGTAGACCCACCGCTTCTGCGAAAGCTATGGCCAGTGTGATACTAGGGTGTACATAAATCAATTTGTTGAGCCGCATTTCCGTAAATCTTACTTGACATTTTGATTGTAAACAATTACCGTATGTATCTGATGAAAATAAAGATTTTTAATGAAATTTCAAGTTAATAAAACACTGTTCACTGATACTTCCATTTTCCTTTCAGAGTAACTAAAGCGGATAGAAGCTTTTGAGTAACATCCTTTGATGAATTTGATAAGCTGTGAAAGTTCCAACAAGTTAGAGATATAATGGGGGTGAAGGGTCTGTGGTCATACATTCAGGAACATCAAGACAAGTATTTTCAAGATTGCAAACTTAAAGACACAAAGCTAGTAATTGATGGCTCGAATTTACTATATTTCCTTTACAATCATTTTGAAAAAAAGAATATATATGGAGGAAATTATGACCACTTTTATACAAAATGTCGAGCCTTCTTCAATACCTTGCTGAAATGTAAGATCTTACCAATAGTGGTATTTGATGGAGCAGACGACCCAGACGATATGAAGTTGGATACGATTCTAAAACGTCTAGATGTGCGATTCAATAGAGTTAAGAAATGGAAAACAAAGGAAATACTACCTATACTATCAAAGCCTCTTTTGTATCAAATTCTTGATGAGCTGAAGGTTCCTCACATTGCCACCGTGTATGAGGCTGATAAGGAAATCGCAGTTTTAGCAAGCAGATATGAATGCCCTGTGGTGACTAATGACAGTGATTTCTACGTGTATGATTTAAAAGGTGGATCAATTTCAATGGAATGCATGATCACAAAAGAGCAAACGGATATAAATGGCAGTTTTTACATACCGGTCAAACTTTACAGACGAGACGCTGTGTTTAAAGATTTGTTCAAGATGGAAAATGACGAATTAATATTTCCTGTATTTGCAACATTAACTGGAAACGATTTTTTCAACCCTTCATGTATTACCCTAAACTACCCCAATGAGTCAGGAAAAAAGATGAGTTTTGCAAAGAGGAATATCCGTGATGTTGCAAAATATATAGAAAAGTTTGTGAGTGGACAGGTTGCATATGATTACATTTGTTCACAGTTAACTAAAAAAGAGCAGTTACCTCAAGCAGGGCAGTTAACTCAAGCAGAGCAGTTAACTCAAGCAGAGCAGTTAAGTGAAGCAGAGCAGTCAAGTGAAGCAGAACAGTCAAGTGAAGCAGAGCAGTCAAGTGAAGCAGAGCAGTCAAGTGAAGCAGAGCAGTCAAGTGAAGCAGAGCAGTCAACTGAAGCAGAGCAGTCAAGTGAAGCAGAGCAGTCAACTGAAGCAGAGCAGTCAACTAAACCAGAGCAGTCAACTAAACCAGAGCAGTCAACTAAACCAGGGCAGTTAACTCAAGCAGAGCAGTTTGAATATTCTGTCAATATGTATCGTTACTCAAAACAATTTACTCTATTTGATTTAGAAGCATTTTATTGGCCCCCAAAAAGGGAAAAAAGTTTTTTGTATAAAAGCCCAAAAGAAAACTGAAAAAAAATTTGGGTCCTTGAAAAAATTTAAAGTTTGGATGAGCCTGAAAAAATTTGGGAAAGGACCCAAAAGCGTTCAATACAAAATTCGGCATAAATTTTGCCTAGAAGGCTCAAAAAAACGAAAAAAATACATAAAAAATTCTAAATTTTGGGGGGAAGGGCCTATCCTAACAAGAAAAAAAACGGGAAAAAAAATTTTAAAATCCGGGGTTTTTAAAATAAAGGCTTTTGATGTAAAAAGGGGAAAGTCTACATTCTTGCTTAAATATTCAAAAAAACCCAACAGACTTATATTTAAGGGCACAGTTTTGAAAGTTTTTAAAATTCCCGTCCCCCCTTTTAAATGCTCAGGGGAAGAATCAGACTTTTTAAACCCTCCGACTGTTTTTTGTATATGGGAGTTTGCAAGTCAAAAACATAAAAAATTCGGGAGAAACCATGGAGCAGAAAAAAGGGGGAAGATATTTCACAGTAAGCCCAATAAGAAAGTTTTAAAATTCGTTTAAAACTTCCCAAAACCCTTTTGGAAATTTCCCCGTCGTAAGGGTCCCAAATTGAAAGAAAGGAAATTATTAGGGCTACATTTAAAAAGAAAAGTGCTTTAAAAATTTTTATGATGAGTAGACAAAAATAGACGAAAACTTCTAAAATATGATCCTTATGTTAAAGGTCTTTTGGAAACCATTCAAAACCCAACTGAATCCCAAAGTACATGCTGTCCTTTTTGGGTTTATTGAAAGGATTCCCATATTTTCGAGGCAAAAGGAGAAAATTAAATGTTTTAGATTTTGGGTAAGAACTGTTGATAAAAAAAAACCCAAAAGAAATTAAAAACCCAAAAAAAAAGACTTTGGAAAAAAATTTAAACAACAGAATTATATGAGACGTGTTCTCATTAACAAGGACTTGATTCATAAAGTTTCACAGTTCCAGGCAATATATCTCCATACTCATCATTTAAACACGCTTTTACTTGGTCCTGTTTCCCTACCAAGTCCGAGTGTAGTACTAAACAGCACTTTCGTCTACAACATGTGTCATTTGCTAGAAAAGGAAGGAAAACGCCTGAAAAATATATTTCCTGCAAGATCACCGCTTTATTGCTTGGTGAGAAAATGGCAATGTGCCATTGATGCTTGTAATTTTGATCCTTTGGCTGAAGACAGAAACTAAAGATTTTAACCATATCCGTGATACGTGAGATTTATTTTCACAATTATATTGCCGTCACAATTGGTCAGAAACATTTGATAAAAAAAGACTTGTTTTGTAGGTAAAAAATAATGACATTAATTTAACCATTTCAGTCGGTAGTACCGTAATTCGTGAGAAACACAATATTCTCGTCAAAAACTGACCAAAAAAGTAACTGGTTGAAAAACTTGCTTTGTACCATTTACAAAGAATAATTTCACCAAATAACTGACATTTAAACATGAATGATTTTTTTATTTCACTGTAACAAAGAAAAACAACAACATATGGATGATATTTCAAGCCTTATGCTGAGATAGAGGGTTGGTTTAAATAACAGACATTATTTTGCTGTTTTATATGAAATTTTGTTACAGTATTTATATTAAAGAAACAATAAAAATCTATTTTTATTGTCGTTAATTTGTTATTTTATATTTCAACAAAGTAGACATTTGTGACTAACAATTACAATGGACAGAGAATACGAGTACTTTGCTTAATATTTATCCGTTAAAAATTAAATCGTATTAGTTTCAAGGTTTAAAAAGAATGCTGTAAAACTTGAAAAGTTTAAGGTTTTATGTTATTAAGCATATTACAAGTCCATGGTTTTTAATTATAAACCACAAGATCATAATAGTCTGAGTTAATTAATATTTCAGCATTAAATAAACTGTTTTAAACTGGGACCAAAACATTTGGTCCCAGATTTCAATATTAGAGCAGCTGAATTTTGGGGAAAACTTCATTTAAAATTATTGTCACAAGGCGCTGTTTTGCAAATTCTGTTTTGTTATTTTTCGATTTACAAATATTCATCGTATATATTCTGTAGTAATAACATTAATTAAACTCGATAATGTGAATTTTTCTGGATACGTTTAAATCTGACGGACGATTAAAACAAGGTTAAGTTCCTACAGAATTATTTATCAACAGTAAAAACAAAGGTATTCTTGAATTTGGGGAAAAAAAAAGGGTTTTAGTCAACCCTTTCCCAACCCTTCAAAGAAGTGTAGGGGCTCGTTTTGAGGGGCGGGGCCAAACCCCAAAAAACGTTTTTTAATTTCCCCCTTTCCGCAAAAACCCGGAAAGGGATTTATCAAAAGGGGCCCTTTTTTCTGTCATTTCCGTTGTCGTCCTTTGGAAAATGGTGGGTGAAAATTACAAAAAAAAATAGCCAAATTTATGGGGGTTTTTAACCCGGGAAACCCTTTTTTAAAAACAAGACATCCCAAATTACCAAAATGTTCGTAAAGTTTTGTATTTTCCCAAAACCCTGCCGGCAAAATTTTTGGGGCATAAATGGTGGGGGAAAAAGGAGAAAACCCAAAGAGGCGCCCAAAGATGGCCCCCAAAAAAATTGAAAAGTACCACTTAGTCATTATTGCTTAATTTTAAGCAGTTAAAACAGATGCTTATGTTCTTTTTATTGCATTCTTGTATCAAATTGATGTCAGGAATGAAGTTGTATTACTTATTTTAATGGAAAAGTGTTGTTTATGGTAAAAAGCAGATAACATGTGACAAAAAGGTACAAAAATGATAATATTTAAAGATGTCCTGTTCATTTTCCCATGTTTTTTATGCAGTTCACATATACAAAATGTAAATTGTTTTATTATGTCTTATATAACAGGAAACAATCTGCTTAAATAAGAAAAATGCTGTACAGTGTGTTCAATACATAGCAATTTTTGAGAACAATGTGTATTTCTGAGTGGTGGGGTAAAATATCAAATAATGTCTTTATCACAAATTAAAAGTAAATAACTTTATATTAAACAAGTTTAATGAAACAGCTTTATAAGCTCTATTATTTTAACAAATGAAGTAATGAGTGGAATAGAATAGGCAAGAATTGCAAATATTTGAAGAGAAAATTGTGTGAATTAAAGAATTCACCTATATTTTAGATAAATGCAGACCAATTTATTGGCGTCGGCGTTTCTATAGTTAATTTTTACGTGTAAGCTGGTATCTCCAAAACTACTGAAGTGAATTGATTGAAATTTTATACACTTGTTCTCTTCTCTATGATAATCTTTACATGACTGGCACAAGTCCCATAAGTCTGATTTTTTTTTCCATATTTATGCCCCTTTTTCGACTCGGAAATTCTTGGTTAAGTTTAAGCGTGTAAGCTGGTATCTCCATACTACTGGATGGAATGGATTGGAACGTCACACACATGTTTTCTGTGACTTTCTAACTTCCTGAACGTGATTGGCTTAAGTCCCATAACTCAGATTTGCTTTATACAGTGCAATACCTCTTTTTCGATTTACAAAATTTTGGATAATTTTTTGAGTGGATGGCATATGTATTTTACAAAAGCCCTTGTTTGACGATTTTTATGTAAAATAATATGTTTCTCTCAAAAAAACATCTTTTTGACAGGCTTTGTGCATGTTTTTGAGACAATTGTATGCATACATAATACAATAATGCAGTAATTTACTCGATAAAACATCTAAATGGCAAGCTTTTGTACTTTTTTTGAGACAATTTTATGTATTCATATATGTACGCAATAGTAATACTCAAACGAAAACAACCTTGTGACAACTCTTTCGAATTGTGGAGCGTCGCTGTCCTCCGACAGCTCTTGTTAAATAATCTATTTGCACTTTCTCCTTTTCTTTCTTTTCATTGACTTTTACATAAACATGAACACCTATGTACTTTTTGTATATCCTACCAGTAAACAATACAACTTTTATTCAAATAGATTGAAGCATTTCTAATGATGTTTCTACAGTGATTGTCCAATTTAGCCATCTGCATGTGAGTGGATGGGGAATAATGTAATTACTATTTACAATGTTGTAAATTTAAAGGATTTAAATATGACATAAATATTAAGCTAATATCATTAATTTTGAGTCATTACATCAAATACATTTCAGATGTTTACGTTTTTCTGTAAGTAACAAAAGTTTTTCATGGTCAAAATAGAAAAGCATATTTCAAATATAGTGGGTCTAACACTTAAAATCTTAAATACGCTATAAATACTGTAAACAACTGATTTTGCGCAGTTATATATAACAACCAATTTTAATTTTGCTTTTTCATATTGATGATGTACAATGATAACATGTACCTAAATTAACAGGCTGCTCTGGATCCATGCTGGTCGCAAACCCATTATGTTGGTTTTGTCGTGGCACGGCTCATTTATATTTTGAATTTATATACCAAGTGTAAAGTTTTAAATACTTCATACTTTCAATACTTTAATGTAAGATAGAACAAGGCACGTTGCAAACGTTTAAGAAGCTTTAAAATTATCATGAAAAGTGGACAATATCTCAATTAAGATTCTTTTATTCAAATAGTTTCAGCCATTTTTTTTGCACACATTACATCAAAGTTGATATGTATGTCTGTTTAATTAATGTGCTTGCTTGTAACGACCATATATTGCACATATTAGGCGTTACTTATGCATAATTCCTGAGCTATTTTCTCATTCCTGCTTTTCAGATATACATGAATGTATGAAACGAATGAATAAAACTGTCTCTAGACACATAGATATCAATTGGGTCAAAAACTAAAAATTCAGTTTACCCAGATGGCAAATTTAATTGATGAGTACATTTTTTATTACAATAATTTTTCCAGATTACTACTTATACATTGGCCACAGGGTTTTTGGACTGTTGACATAAAACTGGAGATTTGGCTCTCTCTTTAAATCCCTCTTCTCTCTTTATATATGTACACTGTGCATTGGTGTAATGTCACCTTTTCCATCATAATT